ACATATACACCACTTCAGGCTATACACACAAGGAGACTTTATCTAGGTAGGAAATATAAAGGTGTGGGTAATAGGATATAGCTTAATTGCCCTGTACTTAAGTAGTAAAGGACAGATAACAAGGATAACACTGCAGGACATGGCTATCTGTCCTAATCTACTCTGCAACCTCGTCTCCTTCTACCTGCTTAGGCAGTCTGGCATCTAGTGGGACACCCAGCCAGAGCCTACTACCCTCAGGAAATTAGATAGATTAATCATTGCTAAGGTCGTTGAAATCCATGGCTAATAGGTCCTGGAATACAATCTACCTGTGCACGCTACCTTCTACACGCACACCAGCTTAAGGACAGCACAAGCAACGCAGAGAGCCTCTGCAGTCACCTGGCACAAGAGGCTCAGCCACCTAGGCCCTGCAGCAATTGAACACCTCGTACAACAGACTGAGGGGGTGCGCATTAAAGGCATCACTACAGCCGAGTGCAACGCATGCGGCAAGGCCAAGGCCAAGCGGCAGATCTGACGTGCACCACGCAACAACAACACTAAAGGACTAGGAGAGAGACTAGCTATTAACTTCTACTTATATAAGGTACAATCTATTACTAAGGAGAAGTTGCAAATGCTTATTATAGACAGATTCTTAGGCCTCTAGTAGGATATCTACTTTACAGATAATTGCATAGTAGCTTTAATTATTACAAAGCTAGCTAACTTTATCCTCTTTCTAAAGAACTATTTTAATATTACTGTAAAGGTTATTAAATTAGATAATAAGATTATAATAGTTAAGCCTTAGGTATAGAACTAGCTTGCAACTAAAGGAATTATTATTAAGCCTTTAGCACTAGACACACAAGCCTAGAACAGTGGAGCTGAACACTTAGGGGGTGTAAACAAGGAGAAAGCACAAGCAATAAGGCTAGATGCTAACCTCTCCTAGGAACTGTGGCTAGAAGTCACAAGAGCAGCAGTATACCTGTACAACAGAACGCCAAACTACAGTAACAACTAGAAGACACCCTATAAGATCTTCTTTACACATACTACTTTTAGTAATAGTAGAATTACTTTACTCTACAAACTAAACCTTAGTTATCTTAAGGTATATAGGTGTAAAGCCTTTGCAATGTCTAATAACACACACTGTAGAAAATCACGCCTCTAACACTTAGATCTAAAAGCATAGATTAGGTATCTTGTTAGATACATATCCTCTAACATCTATTGCATCTAGATACTACTACTAGCTAGGGTAATTAGCACACGCAATGTCACCTTTAACAAGCAAACAGTGTTTAATAGCAAGACTAAGGACCTGCATAACAACCTTATGCACACTACTCTTAAAGAAATTGCCACCCTTATAAGGACGCTAGAACTACTAAGTCTAACTACCTATCTAGAGGCTAAGTTATTCTACAAGGACAATATAGCTACTAACACTATATAACTATCTAATCTATTACTAGATTTAGAACTACCTAGATATTACTAAGGAAGAAAGATTGCAGAGATCTATCTATCTCCACCTCTAACTCCGCCACTAGCAGCTTTTCTAGCTAAAGGTAGGCCTAGAAAGCTAACATACCCCACACACAGCTATTTAAGAACAATCCCTTAGCAAGCAGCCTTTATAGCAGGCACCTAAGTAGGAAATATTAGTATCTACTAAGACAAGATTATTAACAAGGCTTAGCTTAGAAGGCTGATAGCAAAAGGAACTGCCCTATACAAAAGCTAGCTACTACTACCTCCTTTGTCACACAAGGAGATAGAAAGTTACCTATTAAGTAATTAGTAGAAGAAAGCTAAGCAGGAGCACCTCTAAAGCCACTACAAGATAAATTTATAGTTAGAAGCACTACTTAAGCAGATTAGATAAAAAGGGCATCAGATCCTTAACTGCATGTGGGTATACACATACAAGCTTAACCAGCAACATAGATTGCAGAAATGCAAGGCGCGCCTAGTAGTCTAAGGAGACCAGCAGCGCGATGTATCAGCACAGGACACCTACGCCGCGACGCTTGCTAGCCAGTTATTTAGATTAATAATGGCGATCGCTGCAGATCGTGACCTTGAGCTCAAGCAGTACGACGTCACTAACGCTTTCGTGCATGCAACAATTAATCAAGAGGTCTACATGAGAATGCCGTACGGCCATAGGAAGCTAAATACAGCTCTAAAACTGAACAAGGCCCTGTATGGACTGCGCATCTCACCTCTGCTATGGCAGAAGGAATTCACCAATACCCTCCTTCAACTAGGCCTACAGGCAGTACCTTACAAGCCTTGCTGCATGATAAAGGACAGAGTATTTATCTTCTTCTACGTTAATAACATTATTTTTAGATACCCTAAGAACAAAGAACACCTAGCTTACTTAATTATATAGGAGCTACAGACAAAATACACCCTTATAGGGGGAGAAGACTTAAAGTAGTTCCTAGGAGTAGAAATTACTTAGGACAGGAGAAACTACACACTCCTCCTCTTACAGGCTGCCTACATTAAGAAGATTAGTTAATTAATTAATAAGAAAGACACTTAACATAATACTCTAATGTCCTCTATTAAGCTAGAACTACAAATAGGCCTAGATAAACTAGTAGAAATTAATAAGTACTAGCGCAAGGTTAGCTTATTGCTATTTGCAGCAGTCACAACGCGTCTAGATATAGCGTTTACAACCTCTAGGCTAGCACGCTACATGCTGAATCCAGGACCAGCGCATCACGCAGCAGCTGATCAAGTGCTGCTCTACCTTATAAGCACGCAGAACCTAGCCCTACGCCAAGGCGGAGGCCTCTACCTCGAGGTCGCAAGTAGGCTGGCGGATGGGTAGGGTATGCTTTTTTACGTTTTGGCTTATAGCTTCTTAACTAGCAGAGATACGCTTACATAATCTATTATTTAATAGAAGCGCCTAGTATTGCGCCTTCTAATAAAAAAAGAATTAGCTAATTCCGCCTAGTATTAGCTAAGTTATTAACACTACCTAGCAAAGTATACCTATTAATGGGTATGCTTGCTAGGTACCCCCCCTTTTTTAACGTTTTCTAGCCTCTAGCTTGTGCAGTTTAATAGTTATAACAAAACCTTCTACTATAAAAATGTAGAGGTGGTTTTTCTCTTTCTTTTCAGCCCTAGTTTGCTAGAATCCATGTATTATTGATAAGGTTTTGGGGGGTACCCACGAAGGACGTTGGAGTATACCCATTCCGCCAGCCTAGTCGCAAGCGATGCGTTGTTTGCTAACAACACCTCTAACTGCAAGAGCTCACAAGGCTACACTATTTAACTATTTAGAGGCCTGATTGCATGGAAAGCGAGCAAACAAGACACTGTTACTACCTCTACAACCAAGGCAGAGCTTCTAGCTCTATTACAGGTGGCAAAGGAAGCTATCTTCATCTTAAGGCTAATTAGGGAGCTCTAAGTAGATCTACCACAAAAGACTATTACAATACACTGCAATAATACTTAGACAATTAGCCTAGTAACTAAGGAGACATTAAAGCTTTAAACAAAGCTCTAACACGTGGATATCTACAACCACTAGCTGCAGCAAGAGGTCTAACAAGGAACAATCTTAGTTAAGTACATCCCCTCTACCAGCATGCCTGCTGATGGCCTTACCAAGGCACTTCCTAAGAACAAATAGGGCGCCTTTCTTAATCACCTTAACCTTGTAGAGTAAACAGAGAGGCTAAATTATTAAGAACTGTTACTGAACAGGCTCCAAGAGGCGCTAGGGTAGTTACCCTGCGAGACGCTGCAATCAGCGCCAGTACACAACTAGCTTGGATCGCGATCCAAGCTGAGGGGGTGTGTCAGACATGAGCAAGGCTGGCCGTAACACTGGCTCGGCTGGAATAGAACTGCATGGAATGGACCGCGCAGCTGGTCGCACAAGAGCGGGGGATAAAAGCCACCTGTTCATAGATTAATCGTTCAATCAATCAATCACAACAATCAGCAAGAACCTTTTAAATCTGACAATAGGATACTTGAGTTAAGTATAACGTGGTTCACAAGCGAGTCGCCCACCCAAGTGAGTCGCCCACTAAACACCCGCGCCCTGCCTGCGCAGCAACAACGCGTAATGCCACAACAACGCAACATGCAAAAGACCTATACTGAAGGAGATATATTTATTGCTATCTCTAATATTAAGTCTAAGCAGATACAGAGCGAAAGACGCACTGCAGCAGTCTATAACATCCCACAAACAATAATCTAAGACTAACGCGCTAGACAACGCCCTTAACGCAACTACAAGCTAAATTTAAAGCGCCTTACAAAGCTAGAAGAGGAGGCAATTATACAGCGTATACTTAAAGAGAGTCTATATAGAATACCACCCTTAAAGGTGCATATACAAGATATAGCTAATAGACTACTAAGGGAGCGTGGTAGGAAGCCTATAGGCAAGAACTAGGTTAATAACTTCATTAAGCGTACACTAGAGCTGCGCACGCGAT